CCTGAGTGCTCCAAGGAGGAACCCATTGTTAAATCCCTTCCCATCATCCAACGAAGTCATGTCAGCCTCATACAGCAGGTGAATCCTAGCAGCAATATTTAGGCCACAGAAGGAAGCAGGAGCTGTGGGACTGTGAGTCTTTGGAAGGCAGGGCAGAGGCGGATGGACTCTGGGGCAGTCAAGGTCATGGCAGATGAGCACTGTCAGCAGCAGCATCCGCAGCACCCACAATGCCACAGCCCCTCTCCACAGCATCCGTATGGAGAAGCAACTGAAGATGAAGGCGCTAAGAGTTTAGAAACCACAGGAGACATTGCCGAGCACCCTGACTCGTGTTACCAGCCCCACAAAGCTCTGGGTGATGGACCGTTTCCTGTCTTGCTGTTTGACCTTCCCTAATGCAGAGATGGCTCCACATCTCTAAACGGGCCAGGAATGTGGCTTCAATAAATCGGATCAGCTTACAGGAATCATGGGAATAAATGAAATTTAGTTTTGGCTGGTCAAACTTTATTTCCAAATGGGAATCTTTGCATGGTTTCCAATAAACTTATTTCACAGAAACTTGAGCTGAGTATAAACACACAAGCAAACAAAATCTTTCCCAATGTTATATACAACTTTGTTTTAATTCTAACATTTTGTATATTGTATGGACTCATTCAAGAAAATTAGCTTTTTCATTTCAAAAAGATTCATTAAACAAGTCTTTTATTTTTTACCTACTTGTTATACGTTGAATATTTTGTATCTTACTGCAGAAATGCAGAGACATGTAGCAAACAAATGGTATACTTGTTCTTCATTACTCACATAAAAATGTTCAAGGGACAGGAATAAAAACTGCTAAAATATAAATAGACCTGACACACATGAAGAGATCTTTGTCTCCACTCATAATTACAGAAGAGCAAGTGAAGAACACAGTGACATCTTATCTTCATCTGTCACATTAGCAAACATTCTCACACCTTCACAGACTTGGGAGCAGAAGAGCTAGATGTGACTCTGAATGGAGGGCAAATCATTCTTGCACATCAAAATTACCAATGCACACATTCAAAATAACATTAAAGTTCTTACAGCATTTTTATACTACCAAAACGTCGGAGAACCCATGGTTGTCCTACAGGGCAGTGGTGCAGTAAGCAGTTGTTCCATGAGAGAAATAGCACATGGCTGTCTAAATTCCAATAGACTGACGCACAATTACTTCTCTGAATTTACATGAAAAGTATGCAATAATGTATTTTGTAGAGTATCATTGTGTAAGAAGGGGAAGAGAGAAAGTATATGTATATATATAATTATACACTTATATTTACAACTACATATTTACATAAGAAAAAGCTGGAGTAATTGACTTTTGTATGTATTATGCATTCATTATCTAATAATTTAAATTGGGTCATATTATACATATTACATTATTTTTCAAAACCACATTCTAATTATTTTCCATTTATTTAAAGAATCTACATTTTTTAAGATGCGTATAGGCCTATCGTATGACATCCTTCACCAGTGCCATAGTGAATGAATATCCTTGCGCATGATGTTAGAATATACATTCTGACTCCTGAGTAATTCGAAGGATCAAATGGTGAGAACACTTTCCAGCACAGGCCTGTGCCACACCTGGTCATGTGCTCCATGGCGGCCCTCATGACTTGCAGTCTGCTACAACTGTTCTAGAGACCAGGAGTTGTTTCAGGCGCTTTCTGGCTTCAACCTGTGCTGTGTGTTGGGATTGCTGAAAAGAATTTTTTTTAAGGTCTCGATGCTTGCCTGTGGAAAGTCCTTGTCTCAGTGACTCTTAAGGGCTCCCATGAGAGAGAGAGCTACCTGTAAAATGGAAGGAGTGATGGGTCTAAATCAGACACACCTAGCACCACGTGGACTTTGGGTTTACTCAATGTTTAGTGTCAGGTCTTTAGATCTGGATTTCTTAGTGAAATTACTCTGTTCTTTGGTGCAATTTGAGAATATTAGAAGAACACAAGTCTCTTGCAGAATTACTGATGCTCACTAGGTGGTAGATATTTGAAGTTACTACAATTTAACTCTGAAAAGCAAACAAAAAGAAGCCTTACAGAAAGTACTGGAAGACATATATTCAGTTGCAATAAGATGTCATGATATCTCATGAAAATATCTAACTTTTTGGCTTTGACTGAATAATATTACAGAATTCTAGCAAAGTAGTATCTTTGGTTATATCTTGTAACTCAGAATACCTAATTGGCAGTTATGTAGGACTTTGGTTCCTATAGTGGGAAAAATGAACAATTATTCATTGTGACTGTTTGACAGACAGTAAACTACAAATAGTGAAGTCCATGGGGAAAAAAATTCCAGAACAGTAAAAAGAACGCACAATGGAGAATGTTTTGAGAATTGTTGCCCTAGAGTTTTCCCTCTTTTAATAGTGTAGAACATATGGACTGTTTTTCTAATAGTTTTTTTTTATGGTTGAGAGAATTGGGATAGTGTCTTAATGCAGAATAAACAATATAGCATTGATACAAACATTTGCATCATTTTTTTTTCATGGAATACCTGTGAATGTAGTCTTCTGTTCTGGCATTTAACTTATCTAACCATGTGCCATGGACTTGAGTCACAAAGTCCTCTTGGTGAACAGGAGGTCAGTGTTTAAAAAGTTTTCTTAGCATGATGTGTTGTGTGGCAGGATTGCCTCCAGCTCACTAATTGTGAAAACAGCACGGAGACCAAGAGGTCCCTCATTAGGGACCCAAATGAGGTCAGAGCAGAAGAGTGACACATTTCCCAGCCTGGGATAAAGTAACATAAGGAAACTGGTGAATCCAGGCTAAAGGGTTCAAACCCCAGCCCTGTTGTTCTTTAAAACTATAGCTATGGGGAAATTCCTTAGTCCTTTCTGCCTCAGTTTATCCTCTATAGAAATCTGCCCATCTCACAAAGTTCTTGTGAGAATTAAATGAGTACTTAAACCAGTAAGCACTATAGCAGTAATTGATAGTCTTATTTCATGAACATGTCAATTACTGATTTTGTGACATTGCATCGAAATCTGAAATTATTTAATTTGAAAACCTCCTTCTAAAAATTCTTATTAACAATTGCAGAAAGGGAACAAGCTGTATGTAATAATAATGTACATCACATGAAAGCTTGAAGGAAAAGGTGTTGAATGTTTTCATGACGAAGGCACAATCACTGTAGGAAAAGATTGAATTGCTTACCCCAACTGCATCCTTAAGCAAAGTGTATACTTTGTATGGAAATAGCACATGGTATAAGATAGCCGTGAACAATTTTCTGTGTCATTAAAAAACCACAAGTAGTTTTGCTAGTAAGAGGCTCACTAAGTATCTGCGCCATGAGCTGTGAAGCGGGGCTCCTGGTCTAGGATCTCTCAGCACATCTCGTGGCTCTCCTGAATGTGGCCGTTACGCTGTGCTGGAAATGTTCTGGACAAAGGACACATAACATCCCTCCTGCCTCAGCAATGCACCTGGCTACGTCAGCATCATCTTCGAGGGGTCTTGTGGCCCCTCAGACCCATCAATACTGCCGGGCTGAGTGTATAGATTTGTTAGAATGGATGAATGGATGCTTAATTTTTGTGCTTAGCCATCATGAGTGCCTGTGAAGGGAAGAAGTGATCAGAGAGAGAGGTGCCTCACCTAGGAATCCAGACAATGACAAGCGTTCCTTGTGCTCCCTCCCTGTGTAGGCACCTTAAGACCTTTGACACAAGAGGGCTCCAGTTCCTGCCCTAAGCAAAGTCGCCACACCTCTACGTTCCTTACAGATCTCCAAAATCCAAGGATAGCATCCAGGGCTCTATAAACCCCTTCTAGGATACCTAATGACTCCCTCAATCCCAACCCCTGTGAGCTGAGTTGACCTGTTTTCCTCTGCATTTCTGACTCCTTTGACCTCCTTCCCACTTGCGTTTCTGTGAGGACATAAATCACTGACTCTCCTGACCCCCAGGTCTGGAGTCCATCAGTCTGTCTTTCAGGCCCTTAGAATGTCCCCAAATCCACCTCCTTGCAAGACTGCCACCTCATCCCTTCTTCCAGGTCCCAGAAGGATTCAGGAGACAGGCCCCTGAATGAAGTGCCACACTGCATTCTTGTCCCCACCTCCCATTCACCCTCCTTTCTGCTCCCACCTGCACCACAGAGCCACGGCATCATTTTCCTCCTGCACATGTACATGTGTTGTGTGCACACGTCATTTTACCTCCCAGTGTGTCTTTGTGTGAGTGTGCACACATTATGCACGGGTATACCTGGGAGTGCATGTCCATGTATCTCTGGCATGTGAATGTAAGCTTATATAAGCCTCTCATGTACACATGGTTGTGTGAACTTGTGACTCTCCCTAGCTTCCACTGTGGAACCCAAGTCTTAGTTGGCTTATTTTTCCTATTTTTGTTTTGAGACAGAGGATGTCTGTGTAACTTTTCATTCTTTGTGTCTCTGTATCTCTCTCTCTAAGTTAGTACACCATCACCAAGTGACACCAGCAATCGTATTTACAGGGAACCCAGGAACTTGTGGCCATGTACAACTGGTGACATCCTAGGAACCAGATGCTAAGTTGATCCCCACACAGCAGTGGGGAGACTGGGGAGGTCATGACAGACACAGTGACTTGTACTGGGTCACACACAGTGGTTGGAAGGAGGGTAGGGTTTGAATGTTGATGTGTCTCTTCAAAGCTGGGTCACCAGACTGAAGGTATGATGGAAGCAGTAGAGTGCAAAGCCCTGAGTTTAAACCCCAGTTAAGACAAATAAAAAAGCTGGGGCACTGATGGCACCCAGTCTGCCCCTGACTGTGTGTTGGGGAAATGTGGCTGTGCCAATGTCCAGTTTCTCACATAGGTTGTGGGTGGGGAAGTCAGTAGCCCACGGGATCCCTGGGGGGCTCTTTAAGGAAAAGGCTGAAATGAAGGCACCTCCAGAAATGACCTCACAGTCTTGACAATGGGCAAAGTGGAACATGGAACCTGGGTACCAGGCACTTCCATTCCAGCACAACCCCACCCAGCTCACTTCTCTGGAGAACGTGAAGAGGCAAACATGTTCTCTTGCTGTCTCCGTGTATGCGAAGGCTCAGGCCCGAGTGAAGGTCATGACCACGTCTCAAGACGCTGGGTCAGCCCTCGCTCTGGCCGTCTCTGGAGATTTTGCCACAGGATCCCAAAGGTGACTCAGGGCAACCAAGGGCAGGTGAAGGAGGGCCAGCCCATCACCCAGATGTGTCCAGGAAGCACCAAATACTTGCCAGAGAGAGAGAGAGAGAGAGAATGTGTGTGTGTCTATGTGGATGTTGATGTGGGCGTGTGTTCTGGAAAATTCTTTCCAGGCTGTTTTCACTTTCCAGTATGGCGATGAGTCTTTCTCCAGTTTGATGGTGTGACCAGCTGTCTCTTACTTTTCCCATCCCAGGGAGCAAAAGAGTTGGCCCCGACCCTGGCTGACCCCTGCAAGGCAGGGATGCTCAAAGCAGGCACTCTGCAGCAGCTGGTGGACCACCTGGTGCCTGCCCTGCTCTTCGGGGACCCAATGGACATCCCTATCTTTCTATGCACTTACCGACGTTTTGCCACCACACAGCAGGTGCTGGACCTGCTATTAACTAGGTAAGGGTCACCTGCAGGGTAGAGGACTCCCTACCTACTGGCTAGGATTGGGCATGCCTGTCGTCTCTTGTGCCCAGTGTGATTGTGGGTACTGGGCTACTCAGAGATCAACCCTCATTGGGAGTTAACAGGATAGATGGGATGGACCCTGGAAGTGCTTATGGGTATTGGCGGGGGAGGACTGCCCCAGCATGGTGGGCTGCCCAGGGTGCTCTCAGCTGCTCTGTGTGACTTCCCCTCCCCAATGAAGAAGCTCTTTGCCTGAGGCCTCACTTCCCTGAGAACTGGGCAAAGCATTTTCCCCACTTTTAAAGGTGGCTCGAGCTAACATCGGGGGTCCCTAACCTAATGTAGCCAAGGGGCCCCAAGCCCACTGAGGTATCTGGAAGGAGACAGTTGGACTCATTCATTGCACAAATATAGAGGTAGCACCTGTTGTGTGGTCACATTTCCAGACACTTAGTAAAATTCACTAAGAGGAGCAGAAAAATCCCTGACTTAAGTGGTTCCATGGCTATTGGGAAGTAACACAGGGTCACTAGACATCACAAGCAGTACAGTAGAGTGAAACCCTCACAACTTCCCCTAGATATGACTCCTTCCTCTACTCCACTGAGGATGGTGGACCACAGGAGCAAGTCAAGCAGTGAGTAGCCGTTCGGACAATAGGGTGGTTGCCTGTCTCCAGAGTGAGGTCATTTGGGATGGGTTGGGGAAAGACGGCAAACTGTGGTCCCATACCTCTCATAATTTCTACTAAAGGACCTTGGTCTAGGGCTTTACCTGCACGTGGAGGAAGACAGAGAGCTGTCCTGACAGGGCGAGTGGGTGGGGTACTGAGTTCTTGGGAAGTTGATGGTCTGGGGCCTCAGAGCTGCCTGTGAGAAGCCATCAACTGTACCACAGCCCATTGCAGCCAGACTTGCCCACCCTGTTGGATATTGTAGCCCACAGAAGGTGTGAGCGCTCGCTCCTTAGCAGTGGGCACTCAGCAGTTTCCAGGGAATCAAGGACTGCTCAGGGAAAGGCTGTGCCACTAAGAGAACACTGTCACAGGAAAGCAGCCCACACATGGCTCATGCAGAAGGGAGCAGCAGGCACCACAGTAGGTGAGTGCTGTAGATGCCACACAGGAGGACCAGGCCTCGTAGACGTGGCAGTCTAGGATACAGATGCCTAGGACGCATGGCACACGGAGTAGGGTGAGGAGCTTCCCTGAAGGGGAAGAACAGCTCACACCTTTGATCTAGGGTGGCCCCCGTGGAGTTTGTCTGTGGCTCCTGCCTGTTTACTTGGCCTGCCACTGCCTGGACTGCTAAAGGGGCTTGGACTCAGAGGTGTGCTGGCCTCTGACTAGACGGGGCAGTCACAGGAGTCCAGTTCCCACAGGTGTGCTGCGGGAAGGCCAGGAGAAGAAGAGGCCAGGCCTCTGACTCTCAGGCCTGCCTGTCTGTCCCCAGAGCCATGTCCTTCATCGTGGGCACTTGGCTAAAACAATACTCAGAAGACTTCACCGAACCTCTGAACTTCCCTTGCCTCAAGAAGCTGGTGAATTACCTGCAAGTCAACATGCCTGGGTCAGATGAAGAGAACCATGCCAAACTTCTCCTTGCCCAGATGGAGCACCTGGCACCCAGCAAGGAGAAGTCTGAGGGTGAGGAGCCTGGGGAGTACATAGAACATGCAAGGAGGGGTCTGTGCTGGCCCCACAAGCAGGAGGGTCCAGGGCTGCCATGGGGCCAGGAGTAAGGCAGCACCAGGGGCCCTGCAGGGGGTGGACTACATTCCAGCAAGGCATCCTGTTGATGGCTTCTCTGGCGAGCAGGGGACTTCTCTGCCTTTGCAGAGGCTCAGCACGAGGAAGTCTTGTTGGGGCTCTTGTCTTCCTCCTCATCTCTCTCTCCATCTCCAGTGCTTTGTCTGAGAACAACTCCACAGGTGGAACATATTGAAGCACCGTTTATGGCACACAACCCAATTGCAAAACCACCATCAGATCCAGAGCTGGTGTCATCAGAAGACTCAGAGTCAGAGTCAATTCTAGCACCTGCCCTGGAGCGAGAGCCAACTCATTTCCTACCTTCCCAGCATGGATCATGTCCAGCACCTGCTCCAGAACTGGATCCAGCTTACTCATATGCCATAGAGTTTGAGCAAACTCTCTCACCATTTTCATCAAGGGATTCTTCCTGGGAATCCCTTGTGTCTACAGATAGCACATTGAGCGAGGAAGAGCCTTCCATCTTGTTCTTCCCTCCGCAACTGGTGGCAGAACAGTTAACACTGATGGATGCTGTGAGTGCCTCCACAGGGCAGGGTATGGGTGGGCTTCCTCCTGGCCTCTGCTGCCCAGACTTGCCAAACCCTGGTACCAAGCCACTTTCAAGTCCAAATCCCAGCTCCACTGGTGCAAAAGCCATGACAGTGAGTTAAACCTAAAGCCTCCTTTCCCATTCCGACAGTGGAGTTGGGACCAAGCCCCAGTAACTATGAAGATTTAGGGATTGAATCAGAGGTGCATCCAAGTCCCATGGATCACTTCTTATCTGTCCTGGATGCCTTTCTAGCTTCAGCACTCATTGGGGGCCTGAAGTGCACTAGAACCATGGCAGACATTGTTCTACCCACTGGTTGTACCAAAAGTGTTTGCAGAGTGGAGACAGAAGGTTTTCCTGGTGGAGGGCAGAGGTGCCACCTTGGCTGTGCAGGTTGAGCCACTTTCTGATGAGTGAACTGAGATTTTTATTAGAAAATGCCACTCTTTCTTCCCTGGCATCTATTAATTTTGTAACTCATGTGCTGGGTGTCCTCAGTGACCAGAGAGCAAAATCCGGACAGTGGATAAGGCTGGAACCACATCCTCAGCTCCCCAAGTTCCAGCCCTTATCACTGGGAGCCAACCTGGACAACGGGGTAGTAGTTGCATCAGGGCAGGTGACATTCAGCCCATCCCCAGGAGCTGTTCAAGAAGGTGGTGCCCTACCACTGCCTGGACTATATCTGCACCCACTGGAAAAAGGATGACAAGGGGCATGTGGCACCCACCATCCAGGCCACTGTCACTCACTTCCACAAAGTCACCACTTGTGTCATCACCACCTGCCTGGGGGACCAGAGCATGGAGGCTGCAGACAGGGCCAAAGTAGTGGAGCACTGGATTGCGGTGGCCTGGGTATGCTGCAAGAGGGGCTGGGGACACCCTGTTCTCCTTTCTCTGATCTCAAGAACCTCAACATGGATGCCAGGGCCCCAGGCCTAGGGCCACACTGGCTAGAAAGTCATAGTGCACAGCCACAGCAAGAGTCCCTCTTCTTTTTCTATACTTGGTTTGCGTTAACATGATCCTCTGCTTACCCCTTGCTCTATGACATCACCCTGGAGCTCCCCACCATGCATCTCATCAGAAGAGGCTCAGCCCCAGGGCCTGAGGCAGGAGCTCCACCCATGCCTCACAGTGTCCTCATCTCCAGGAATGTCGAGCTCTCAACAACTTCTCCTCCCTCTGTGCCATCGTGGCTGCTCTGCACAGCAAGGCCATCCACCGCCTGAGGAAGACCTGGAAAGACGTCTCCAGGTGAGTGTACTTCTCTCCTAAGATGCACCTGGGCTGCCATCACCCCTCAATGAGCCCAGCTGCAATCCTGGGGGACAGGGGCTGCTGATGTCCACAACTGTACATGAGCCCAGTAAGTCTGTGACAGGGTTTGGATTTCTAGACTGCTTCACACAGGGCAGGGTCACACGGGAGGTTTTCACACTTACATTGTAGGCACAGCATTTGAGGATTAAACCCAAATTATCACCCCTCAAGTTAATGGGTAGGGACCCTACTGTACAAGCAGGAACTTCCTGCTCCAGACCCATGCGACCTTAGTGCTCAGTGGAACCATTTGCAAACCCTTCTTCAATCATATTGGAAGACTTTTAGTCATGGTACTAAAAGAAAATGGATTCACACTCCTATCCTTCCCCACCCTACCTAACTGTCACCTTCTCTCTGCCCTTCCTGCAGCAACAGCCTTCAGATATTCCAAAGTCTGTCCAGTGTTTTGACTCCTGAGACAATCTACTGCCTGAGCAAAGAAGGGCTCGTTGAGGTAGGTGGGAATCTGAGTACAATAGGCAAAGGGGGCAGGGACGTTAATTCCTAAGAGAAAAAGTTTCTGAGTAAGTCCAGGCCCCTGTCTTCTGGATGAAGAAAGTTTTTGTGTTCAGGCAGGTGGGGTAGAGTTTGGAAATAGGAAATCTCTAGTAATGGAATGCCGTTGAGGCAGTCAAGTGTTTGTGGAGGTGGAAGAAGCAGCAAAATGAGGTAGTCTGTGGGCTCCTGCTAGTGGGTAGCATCAGCCCAACTATTGAGTGGTTTGAACCAAATGGCGCTGCCTCCATAAACCATCCCATCCGATTCTCATGAATCCAGGTTTCTGTCACCTTTCTGTGTGGGATGCACATCCCAGGGGAGTTATCTGTTAGGGGATTGGATACCAGAGGGAGTAAAAGGGCATTTTCATGGTGGAGAACATCGTGAGTGTCACCACAGAGATAGTAAACCTTTGGCACAGGCTCAGTATGCTTCAGGGAACAGTGACCGAGGACTGGGGTAGGCAGGAGACTCACATTTTTTCTCTCTCCATTTGTGGTTCCTCTCTGCTAGGAACCATAGCACACATGGAAGGGCTGTAGGACAGGACTCTGTTCAGGAACAAATGGGAGCTAGGCTCCTGCTCCCTTCACCCCCTGCCAAATGCTGTGCATGTCAACACATCTCTCTGGGTCTGTTTTCTCATCTGACATTTGGATGGGTGATGAGCCTGGGGTTCTACCTTCATCAGAGACAAGTGGGTAGGGAGAAAAGGAAGGTACAGGAGTCCTGAAGTGGATTTGGCCATAGGGGTGAGTCAGCACAGCACCAGTGGAAGAAGGAGACATTGAGTCCTCACTGTCCCCATAACACAGGTATATGGTCATCTGCATTTTACAGATGAAACAGGAACAGGGAGGCCAGGTTACCATACCAGGACTGCCATCAGTGCACGTTGTTTTTGTTTGTTTGTTTTGTGCACTGGAGCTTGAACTTAGAGCCTACACCTTGAGCCCTTTTTTGTAATGGGTTTTTCAAGATACGGTCTCGAGAAGTTTTTGCCCAGGCTGGATTCGAACCTCCTTCCTCCTGACCTCAGCCTCCTGAGTAGCTAGGATTAAAGGCATGAACCACTTACACCTGGCTTCAGTGAGTGTTTTGACAGGGCCTAATCTAGAACTGCCATAGCAGGTGTCAAGATTATTGCCACAGCCATTCGGGACACTCCCAGGCACAAGGATTGGGAACTAAAGAAGTGAGTTTTGAGAGGAGGATGGCCTTGCTAACACTGTCTCAATCTTGGCAGGGAGAGACTTCCAAATGGGCCACCATGTGCATGAACATCAAGAGAAGACATGGGCAACAGGAGAGGGTGAGTGACCATGCCCAAAACCAGGGGCACCCTGGAAGCAGCAGTGGAGATGGCTCCACTAGACCTTCCCACTTGTGGTAGCACTGCCTGAAATGCCCATCTGACATGGCCTCTGGACCCTCCCACCTCCTGCACACTGAACACCAGGCATCATAAGAGATGTCCTGCAGGCACCAGAGAAGGGACTACAGAACCTAAGGGGAGGTGGTGGGGAGGGAGATGGGACAAATGCCAATCTGGGAATTGTACACAGGACACAGAGCTTCAGGAATGGTTGCCTTGGTCCCTAGTCTATTCTCACTGGGAGGCCCTAGTGGTGGCTAGAGGCAAGTTGAGATGTGGTCAGCAATAGGGACCCTGGACTTTGCTTATTGAGATATGGGAACATTTGATGCAGAAAGGATGGGCCATCACAGGAAAGTGGGATGTTGAGGTAGGAGCTAGGACTGCTTCCTGGGAGTGGCTGTTTGAATCCTGCTTTGAGAACAGCAAGGAGCCTGCATGGGAGTGACAGGAGAGGTGACGCAGAGTAATGACCCAGAGTAATGACTGAGGACAATGAACCAGGCCTGTCACCATCCTGTCCTCTCCCTGCTCAGGAATTCAAAATCATCTCAGAGATCAGTGTTCTGCAGTCAGCCTGCAATCATGACTGTATCATGCCAGACAAGCATTTCCTGGCCTTGTTCCAGGCCATGGAGCCCCTCAGCATGGATGAGAGGTGAGGCTGGGCAGGTACTGGGGGAAGAGAGATTGGAGCACATGTAGGGCTGGCTCCCAAGAGCCTGCAGCCTTTGCTCTGTTACTATGTCACATTGTTGTCTGGTAATGTCTGAGATCTGGGCACAAACTTCCAAGACAGGCACTGAGTAGGAACCAGAGTGTGGCTCCTGATAGGCTCACAGCCACCTGTGTCCTAGCTACCACCTATCCTGTGCATTGGAGCCCCGGCAAAGACAGCCAGCTTCACTCTAAAGATCAAGAGGAGGAGAGCCGTGGGGAAATGCCTGAACAAGTAAGTGCCTGATTCCAGGTAGTGGAGGGATAGAGAGGTCCTGGGAAGTGGAAATGTGAACCTGTCTGGCTAGTTTTGGCATCCCACCTCACCTCTGACCCACCCTGGGTCTGGGGTGTGTGACCTCAATCTGCCAGCCTCAGTGTCCTCATCTGAGAAATGGGGTGATCCCTCAGAATGAGATCCTGTTCATTACCTAAGAACTGAGAACCTTGAGCAGAGTCCAGCTAGGTAATGGAGTTGGGATATGTACTTGGAGAGGGCCCTGAAGTAAGGCAGCCCCTATATTCAGCCACCAGGACTCCAAGACAGGCATAAAAGTGAGCGGCAGCTCCCTCTGCAAGCCCTGCAATGAAATGACGTTTAGTCCTGATCTCAGCAGTGGGAACATCAGTGACCCATGGAGCCTGAACTCGGCCAGCTCATCTAGCACTGACAAGGAGGACCTTGAAAAAGCATTATGCTGGAAGCCTGCGATGACAGCAAAGAGAAGGTGATGATCTGATCATCCCTTCCTCTCCTATTGCCAGTTTTCTTCCCTCTTATGTCCATACAGGAGTTTGGAAGCTCCAGCTCATGAACATGGCTCCAGAAGCACCTAGATCTGGTGCCATGCTGAGGAACCCTGCAGGGTCTGAGCTTCTACTGAAGTTTCTGTCTCCCACAGTTCTGGCAGTCAGCCTCCCCCTCATCCCGACAGGAGCACCCACATCATGTCGGCCTCCAGCAGCCTCTCCCCAATGTCAGGCTCCACCACCCCTGTGGTGAACACATGTGCCCACAGCACCCTGTCCCAGAGCTGTCTATCTCCCTCTCCTTGCTGTACAACAAGACAAGGGTGACGGTTATATTGTTTGGGTCAACATGTATGATGTCAGCAGACCCTAGGCCATCCTTATGAGCCAGATGGCAGGCCACTCACTCATTGTCCTCACTCAGCCAGGCTGCACGCAAGCATGGAACCCTGGACACCATTCGTCCCCTCTTGCTGACTACCTCATGTTCAGGAAGGATGGATAGGCCAGCGCAAGGGAGTGTCTACTACTCACTTCCTGACCAGCAGTGTGGAAGGGAGCAGAGGGCCCAGCTTGCAGGAGCCAAGGGGACAATAAAGAGGCCAGAAGTGAAGGAGCAGAAATGGAGGAGATGAGGTCGGGAATGGGCTAGGGCCAAGTGGCAGAGAAGACCTTGACTTTCTCTTGGAGGAAGACGGAGCTAGTAGGAGTTACATTAGAGAGGGCCAGCAGTGGCTTATGGCCTACCCATGGGATGTTGGCCAAGGTACAGAGAGGCTGCTGAGGGAGCTGCAATTGCAATCAAGCCTGGGAGAGTGGGAGCCACAGCAGACTGATGGCCCTGGAGACGACCAGCAGTGTCAGGGTCTGGATGTCATGTGAACCTGGGGCCATGGGACCTGCTCATATATGTTTAGTCATACAAGGGGTGACTCCTCGCGTGTGCTGGTTTCCGGCTACAGGTGAGTCACTTACAGCCCTGCCTTCCCCATGATCTGTCAGGTGCCCCACGGCACACCAGCACGACTGAACTTCTTGCTGCCAGACTCTGCAAGAGCTGTCATTAGCAGCCACTGCATAGCACAGAGTCTGAGTCTCACATGCATTCTGAACCTCAGATGAGAGGCAGCTGGGAATCAAGGCTGTGTTGTCCACTGCTGCAGCTTCTGGCTCCCATTAGGAGCCACCTGTAGAAGGCTCCTTGGCATCTGACTGTCTCCCCCTCTCCTAGAGCTGCACAATAGATGTATCAATTGGCCAGGCTCATTGATCTTGTCATCCCTGCAACCTTTCCAAGGTGGCATGGGAGGAGGTCACAGGCTGTTGTGAGAGACGCGGGCTAGGAGCATTTGGCAAGAGCCTACCTCATTACATAGGGGATACTGTCATTGATGGGGAAAAAGTGAGGATCACTTGAGCCAGCCGTGAGCCCTGCACTTAGAGCTCAGTTTGTAGCACAAGGGGCCTGGCCACTATAAATTGGTAGCCACTCTAGGGCCCTTGGCTTGATGGCTTGTTGTCTGTTCAGATCCAGGTAAGCAGCCTGGATATTACCCCAGCTGCTATTTCCAGTTCCTTGGAGAGACCCACACGGGATCAGCATGAGTCTGAGGATGGCAAATGGCTGGAGGTCATCACAGCTGATTCCGGTAAGTTGGAGAATCAGATAGGCAACAAGGCCCTCTGTCCCAGAACACGTGGACACAGGATCAGAGTGGGAATTGAGCACAGAGTACCCTGAACAAGGAAAACCCTTCATGTTCCCGGGTCTCCTCACTACCCCAGTGCCTGCTGAACCTCCATGGCTTTGCACAGCCAAGAATATGATTGGGTAGAAATGAGGAATGGACAGGAAAGTTTTGTCTCATGGGCAGAGGACCCAGGCTGACCACTCCCAGTAGGGAGGTTTTCTGACTATCCTAGAAAATGTACACTTCAGAAAGAATCAGGGGCTGGGGTTGGAGCTCTGTGGTAAAGTGTTTTCCCAGAAGGCCCCTGTTACAAATCATAGCACAGCTAAAAGAAGAAAAATCACAAAAGAATGGGAATTGTGTTATTTGAAGGGTGACATGTTAAAATTGATGTGTGTGACAAGAAACACACATTGTAGGGAGCCAAGGCACCCCAAGAAGAACAGAATGAAGGAGCCCAGGCTCAGAGCAAGCAGTTCAGGTTCAGAAACCTTGGAAAGTTCCAAGTCCTTTGTACCTGCAGGTTCATGCCCAAAAGGAGGCAGGGTGCACAGTCCTCCTAGGTGCAGCTCCCTTCCCCTGTGACTGTGTCCACCCTAGGGGATCCATCAAACGGCATGGCTGATTATCTTAGTCCTCTCCTTGTGCCCACGGGCCCTGTCTTGTCACCTTTGTGTCTTCCTGGGACTTTCTTCCTCTTCTCCAGCTTTTCTCATGCTACACCTGATTCCTGCTCACTGAAAGTGAGGAAGTCCTGCCCATGATTAGCCTAAGGGCTCCCCCCAGAGCAGAGAAACCTTTCCCTAGACCTCTACATTCACCCCACGAAAGCAGACGATCCCATTGCAGTGCCCCATGGCACACAGGACACTGGAGAATCTGACAGAGGGCTTAATCACACAGAAAAGTCCACTGGATCTACATGGACCCCAGAAGTCAATGTCCATGTTGTCCATTTTCTGCTTTCTTTCTAAGGAGCTAAGCATCCCAGTCCTGACATTAGGCTAGACAATGAGCAGTGACACCACCCATCCCTAGACATTGTATTCCAATACCCTGGAGCTTATTGCACCATTTTGGTTATGGAGATAGAATTGGAGAAGCTCCAGTCATACAGAATAGAAAGAGGAGACCTAGAGAGGGCAAGAAATGAGGATCAGAAGTGACAATGCCCACAGCAGCATGATCCCATTGAAGGGCTTGTTGAGAGAAGACTCTAGGCCATGTACTCTAGTGGGAAAGAGCCACCCAGTAGAAAGACTTGCTGGATTCCTGGAGCCCACTGGATATGAAGGTCTCCCAAGACCCAGGCTTAGGCGACCTAGGGCAAGAATTTTCCTTTTCTAATCCTTGGAATCTTCACCTATGAGAGGGCGGCATTTCAGCACAGATGACTAGAGTCCAGTAAACCAGCTGTTGTGGGAAGTGCAAACCAGATGGGCACCAGTGAAGGGGTGTGTGATGACCCTTTGCCAGCTCCAGGCTAAGTAGGGTGTGCTAGCGTCCTTGTCTGAGAAAGTGTCATTAGGTTTCCTCAGGGCCAATGCACAGTCCACTCCTTGCCAGGAATCACTGGGAGGGAGCCTTTTGTGTCCAGGAGCTGAGCTAGAGGTGTACTGGGGCCATGGGCAGACCTGGTTGAGTAGAGGTTCTGTAATGGTGGGGGCGTTCCAGTGACTGCCACTGACTACATCTCTGCTACTCTCCCACCAGAGCTCAGCATCCAAAAGACTTCAAATATGTCTACATCCATACAGGACCATATCGTAAATTCAAAAGCCTTCATGGAGGGCCCTGCAGGCAAGTGTGGAACCAGCTGGACCTTCCCTCTGAGAAGGCCTAGGAAAGTTACACTGCCATGGGCATCATATTACAATAATTATACTAGGCTCTGTCACCTTCACTACAGATTACCTGGTGTAATGTGCACATGGAATAAATAGGAATGTAACATTAAATTTTAATATTAAAGTAAGTTTTCACAAATACCAAGGTCCTTATCATTTTTTTCTTATATTTCCTGTGTTAATAATGAGACAGAATTTCACATTTCATGAGGAAATAAGAAATCTTGCAGATTTCTTACACTATTTTGTGCAGAATTAGGAAAGGCCAGCCCTCTTGTCAAGCAGGCTGGAGGAAACACACATCCACCTTGCCCAGAGCAAGTGTTCATTTCAGGCTCATGAAACTGGTTGTGGCACACTGCTCCCTAGGGACTCCTGGTTAGAGGTTGGAGGTGCTGTCACAGAGCCTGGAACAACCACTGGAATTTGGGTGTTCTGAAAAAATGCCATTTGCTAAAGAAATGGCTGAGGGGGAACGACTGGACTCAGTCTCTCCAGGAAAGCACCCATTAAGCTGAAGGGGGAGGAGATCAGAATCAGCAATCTCAGGACTCTGGGAAGTGATCAGACATAGTAACCAGGGGAAGCTTCAGGAAAGGAGACACTGCTCAAGGTTCAACAACAGATAAACTCAGTAAAAGCATAAGCACAATTTTTTTTGGCAGTACTGGGGTTTGAACTAGGGCCTCATGTTTACTAGGCAAGTGCTGTGCAACTTGAGGCACTCCCCCAGGACAACCACATTTCTTGAAGACAAATTCATAAATCTTTAACCAGCCCAACTAAGGAAAACAAAAAAGGAATCATGCAAATTATCAATATCGGGTATGAAAGCAAGGGTCTCACTGCAGATGATATATTCAAAGGCTAATAGGGAATATTCCACACAGTTTTATGTCCATAAATTCAATAACAGATAAAATGAAACAGTTATTCAAAGATACAACCTACCATAGCTCACTAAAGAATAGATTAAGTGAATAATCTGATATTTATAAACAAATTTATAGCTAAGAACCTTCTTACAAAGAAAAGTCAAGGCACACCTTCATTAATAAATTATAAAATTATCTAAGGAAAATATCTGTTCTACATTTTTAAAAAAATCCAGATAGTGGAAACCACAGAAGCATTTCTCAACTCATTTTACTCACTGTTACCAGAGTTCATTTGGAACAAATAAATCACCAGGATGCCAAAACTAGATACAGCATTACAAGAAAAGCACTCCCGAGGCCAATAGTCCTCTTAGTGCAGAGGAGGGATCCTCAACAAAATACCAGCACATGGACTCACAAATATACCAGTAGAATAAGAAATCGTGTGCAAGCAGGATTAATATGGAATACAAGAATGCATCAGCATTCAAAAGTAAAGAGTGTATATTTGCTTATGATCACACTATGGAAGGAAGACGTGGTCATCAACAGATGAAGAACAAAGG